TGAGAACTGTATTGATGGTCAAGAGAGATCAATTCCCTATCCAAACATTTACTATCTCTTTATATTGGAAGCTGAAGAACTCCATGCAAAGAAAACTTATAAAAAGTTTCAGTCAGCCATAGGTGTTCATTTTTTTTAAATGCAAGAAGAACCTTGCATTGATGTAGACTGTTCCCAGTGCCGTAACTACAGATGTCATTATATTCCCCCATTTTTACAAGGGAGAATTCCTTGTAGAGTGGAGTGGAGAATCTTTAAACTTACTAATGGTGGAGTAAGGGAGAGGAACAGCAGAAGAATGCAGCTTTGGGTTTTTTTTCAAAACAGGAGTCCTGACATCATCTGCTGGAGCAACAGGATAATTTCTAGATCTTCTCTGCTCTGTAAATAAATGAAGGAATAATGACACTTTCAAGTAATCCTAGTTCTGAGTGATAGGAGCAAGCCATAAAATAATCGGAATAATTAGAGGTGAAATCCCCCCCCCTGTTTTCCTTTTGATGGAGTTCCTACTTACTTATTTATCTTGGTTAGCTGTAAAACCTGCCTTTGTTTCAAAAAACCTCTTGGATGAAAAAGTTTGCTTCAAGCTTATCATCCCATAATAACTGAATTTACATACAGGTAGTCCTCAGTTTATGACCAGTTGTTTAGCAACCATTTGAGTTATGGTGGACCCCAAAAATGGTACTTATGACCTGGTTTCAAAGTTCTGATGTCCACCCACTTCTGAAGTCATGTGACTGCATTTTGGATGCTCAGCAACCAGACCACAATTACATATAGCCATTTGCAGTGCCCTGTGGTCATATGATTGCAATTTACAACATTACAACAGCCAGCGTTTACTTCCAGTTTCTGGAAAAATGGACCCATAGTGAACAATAGGTTTGCTTAAGGGAAGTGGCGTTCATACAATGATCATGGTTTATGCTTAATAACTACCATGTTTGCTTTATGACAAACACATTCACTTAACAGCCACTTTAAAAAATGTCATATAATTGAGTCCACTCACATTGTGACCCATTTTCTGACCGTCATGACTTACAACCATAATTGTGAGCTCACAGTCGTAACACAAGCACTGCCTATAATTGAAAGCTCCATACTTGGTTCAGTGGAATTCAACTCAGATAACCATGCACAGCAATGCAGTCATACTCATTTTAATGCCTGCACTATTATTCTGAATTGTCTTCTTTGGAGGATTGTCTACAGTTAAAATAGCTCTTGCAACTTCAAAACTGAAAGGTTTATTACTACTTACTGTCAATGCTGCAAATACTGTATATTCTTGTTTTGACAATATGCAGAACTGTCTGGTATTTTTATAGTTAAATCAGGCAACAGTGAAAGGGGAGGAGAATAAGGAAAGCCCGGGAAAAAGAAACCGGAAGTAAATCACATCTTCCAAGTTAATTGGAAGATGTGAACCATGACCCCAAAATAGAGGAGGGAAAAATGCCTGGAATGTATGTGCAACGGAAAAGAATCTCAGATCTAAGCATTTCCACCATGCCGTACTGACATCTCTGTAACCTTAATAAATGCTTTTAGGATAAAAATATGCCTGAAAGTCCTTTTAAGTGTTTCGTTAATCAGACACATGACACTTACCATACAAACTGGCTACCCAAGTTTCATCTTCATCAAAATGCACATTTCCACGGAAATAATGACTGGGAGGGAAAGCATGGCCGAGGACACCAAGGGGTCCATCAAATTGCCGTGGGCAGCGGCCATGCACTGAAAGACAACATGATATGAGATTACCCTCACTTCGTAATAAAAAGAGCTTAAAGAAACTTAAAGCTGCTGTGGGATTTAAGGTGCTACCTCTTGTTGCAAACTCTATCATGATGTCCGCTCTCCCTCTGTGAATCCTGTTGAAAGTCAAAGGCGTCACCTTACTCCAAACTTCAAAAGCCTTCTTGATGGAGGCATCCACATCAGCTCTCCTCATGTCAGGTGTGTAATTCATAATTCTAAGAAAATTATAATGCAGAACACTTTCTCACTGAAACAGTTTGGTCTAGTTTTTAAAGCACCGAGCTAGAAATCGGGAGACCGTGAGTTCTAGTTGCACCTAAGGCATGAAAGCCGGTTGGGCGACCCTGAGCCAGTCATTCTCTCTCAGCCTAATTCACCTCACAGGGTTGTTGTTGAGGTGAAAATAGGAGAAGGGAGGCAGCATTAGGTATGTTTGCTGCCTTGAGTTATTCATAAAATTAATAAGGGTGGGGAAAACAGTTAAAAAATCATTTGCACTACTATGGCAAATAATGATCTGGAATGAAAAATGAATATGCAAATCAGAAGCAAGTAGATTGAGACAAATGGCTACAATTTTTCCAATTTATCTTGGCCAGTTCCTGGATAGAAGTATTCACATGACCTTTTTTTTTTATTGAGATGTGAGCAAAACAATTTCCCCTTCCTTCTACTTAAGAAGGCATTTTCTTCCAGTGAATTATTTTTGCAAAACAGCAGTATCCAATGTTTCCAGGCTAGGTTTTGGGCTATAGTGGGTATAGCTAAAGCATAAGTTAGCTTTCCTTTTATTTCATTTCATTTAAATTAAATTATTAAATCAAATTAAATGGATTAATATGGTTATGCCTGGGCATGTACTTAATAATTTCTCTTTTCTATCATATTAAAAATACTATTTATAGTGAACTTTAAAGTTGTCCCAAACTTTCAGGAGAAGCAATGCAATCCCAAAATCCTAAATTGTATATCTATATTGTAAATATTCAAGTTTGGTTTTTGCAGTTTAAAATAAAGTTTTAATAGTGACATTTAATTTTCAGTATTTTTCAACTTATAAATGCTGAGTTTATGACAAAATCATTGTTACTTAAGATCTATTATGTATACAACTAAGGAGGTACTATGTTATTCTTATCTGATGCATGTTGACTTAATTCAGGGGATATCTCAAAGACTCTAGAAAGAGTACAGAGAAGAGCAACAAAGATGATTAGGGGACTGGAGACTAAAGCATATAAGGAACGGTTGCTGGAATTGGGTATGTCTAGTTTAATGAAGAGAAGGACGAGGGGGACATGAGAGCAGTGTTCCAATATCTCAGGGGCTGCCACAAAGAAGAGGGAGTCAAGCTATTTTCCAAGGCGCCTGAAGGCAGGACAAGAAGCAACAGGTGGAAACTAAGCAAGGGGAGAAGCAACCTAGAACTAAGGAGAAACTTCCTGACAGTTAGAACAATTAACCAGTGGAACAACCTGCTTCCAGAAGCGGTGAATGCTCCAACACTGGAAGTTTTTAAGAAGAGACTGGACAGCCATTTGCCCGAAATGGCATAGGGTTTCCTGTCTGAGCAGGGGGTTGGACTAGATGACCTCCAAGGTCCCTTCCAACTTTACTACTACTACTACTACTACTACTACTACTACTACTACTACTACTACTACTACTACTACTACTACTATTATCTTGATGTCATCTCATTTATTTGGTCCATCAACAAAATATTTTTACCTGTATGTGAGCTTGGTTTTTCTCCATCCAGGAAGAGCCAGGACATATTGTCCAATATCAGGAACACCACATCGTGGTTGTTGCATAACTTCTAGAGTCTCAGCATCAACCTTTCCTGTTACATTCAATCTAAAAAAGTTTTGCATTTGTTTGATTTTATCCACAAAGGATAAATTATTTATCTTCCAGCCTCGCTGCCCTGGATCAGCTTTTTGCTCATAAAACTGATTGATATATGCCTGATGAAAACAGAAAAGCATGTAGATATACACATTAATACATGATTTTCACATTAATTTGTTATACACTATAATGTATTATATGTTTGGCTGGTAGAAGAGTTATGGCATATTCATTTTTGCAATTTCTTAGCAATATTGTTACAGGTAGTCCTCAACTTATGACCACAATTGGGAACAGAGTTTCCATTAGTAAGTGATTTGATCATTAGGTGAATTGCACTGGATTTTATGACATTTTTGCCATGGTCATTAAGCAAATCAGGTGGCCATTAAGTGGCCATTGACTTTGCTTGTTAGAAACTCCTTGGAAACGCCGCAAGTGGCCATCATGGGACCCTGAGATGCTGCAGCCATTGTCAATATATGCCTGTTGTCAAACACTCAAATTTTGATCATGTTACTGTAACAGTCATATATCTGAGGACTGGTCATAAGTCACTTTGTTCAGCATCATCATAAGTTTGAACAATTGTAAAACAAATGATCCTGTCCAGGCCAGAAGTTAACACTGAGTGCTCTGCCCGCCATTCTCCCAAATACAAGATTTATATCTGTTGATGTGACTTGTCAGAATGCCAAGCTGACATGAATTTTGGAGCTGGCTTGACCTAAAATGTCAACAGTTTAGTTGTGGTTCTTATTTGCTGCGATTAATTGTGCTTCTTTATGAGTTGAGATTGAAGTATGTTCATCACATCTTGTGACTGTCAGTTGACAGTCATATATATACAGGTAGTCCTTGACTTATGACATTTCAGCCCAAATTTCTGATGCTAAGTGAGGCAGTTGTTAAGTGAACGTTGCCCTATTTTATGACTTTTCTTGCCACAGTTGTAATACAGTTGTTAAGTGAATCCGGCTTCTCCATTGACTTTGCTTGTCAGAAGGCTGCAAAAGGGGATCACATGATTCTGGGACACTGCAATTGTCATAAATATGAGTCAGTTGCCAAGCACATATCAGTTGATTACATGACCATGGGGATGTTGCAATGGTTGTAAGTATGAAAAAATGGTCATAAGTCACTTTTTTCAATGCCACTGTAACATCAAATGGTCACTAAATGAACTGTTGTAAGCAAGGACTACCAATATGTTCATATATGTCTTTTGTCAATTTTCTATTTCTCTATCTTACTGTATGTAGTAGTTTTTACTGTCTTTGCAACATATGTGATAGGTGATCTGTGTTTTTTTTTGGATTGGGGTAGGATTACTGGATCTTTGGAGTTGCATTAACACAGGGGTCTTCAAACTTGGCCTTTTATGACTCGTGGACTTCAACTCCCAGAATTCCTCAGCCAGCGTGCCTGGCTGAGGAATTCTGGGAGTTGAGGTCCATGAGTCATAAAAGGGACAAGTTTGAAGACCCCCGCATTAACATAACCATTACAATCTATGCAAACGGATAACTCCCCCCCATACATCACAAATTTCTCACTACAATTTCTGTACAATTTCTGTAACAACTGTTCAAAATTAGGATGACGTCTTAAGCAAAGTCAGAGCATCAGAGCTCAGATACGTAAGGGAAGAAACAACACTTTAATCAAGGACCAATTAAGAAAAAAAAAACCAGACTCCAAACAAGACTGGCAAGGCAAGCTCCTATATTATAAAACCAGCAAACCTCTCTCTCCTATGCACGGAGGTTGTTACATAGACCGGTAACTAAAAATCTGCAGGAAAACAGCAAGCTCAAAAAATATGAAGAACCCAACAGTCCAGCCCAAGTTCTCATTGATTCCAAATTTCTCGGAGACCAGTGGCATTGTTACCTGTGCAAGCTGTTCATTTTGTCCTTCGCTTCTCTTCTCTGAAAGGATGGGGAGTCCATAAGAAAATGCAGTACACCAAAATAAAAGCAAAATATGTTTCATCTTGAAATTGGGTCGCCTTGTTTAAGGAGCAGCAAAGTTTCTGTCTCAGCTATTGCGGTTCATCTGGCTTTCAAATTTTTGTGCTTTATGTTTCATAAAGCCAGCTGTGGACTGACTCAACATTTCATCATGTTCTGATTAGCAACAGAAAGCACATACAACCAGGAGAAGGTGTCACAGTGCAAGTAGATTTAAAATCTTGATTATATAAAACTTTATAGCACTGAACTAGCAAAAATACTTTCTAAGTCTCTCTGGCTACCTTTAAATATCTTTCAGTTTTTTAAACTGTGCCTTTTATGTATACAGTATTGCAACTCCTACCCACACTGTGACTAAACTAACATATTACACTAAGTCTTAATGAGATTTTTTTCATTGTTACAAGAGGTTAGGCATTGTGGTCCGTAAACCATGGTTTAGACTACAGTGTGTAGTGTAGCCGTACCCAGTTCTTGCAACTGTTCTTCATATGTTGTAGTCTCCAGGCCTTTAATCATCTTAGCTGCACTTCTCTGAACTTTTCCCAAAGTCTCAACATCTTTTTTGTATGATTATGACTAACTTATTCATGGATAATTTCCCATTTTATATTTATGTGAGGAAAACCGAGTAGCCTTCACTACCCTGCCAACAAGCAAGGAAGGAACGAGTGAATGAGGCAGAGGCAGTAAAATGTGTTATGTATAGATTGATACTATAAACTTCCACTATTCAGATCCGTTCTTGGGTACTTGATGGAGAAGTAACACTTTTGATCTTTCTCCCCAGCAGCTGTTACTCATCTTGAATTCATCATTAACCACAAGAGTGTAATATTTCCTCTGTTGAGTAATTTAGCATAATATGTCTCAAAAATCACACAATGCCTGACAATTTGTTTCTAATTGGGTGGTGCTGATGATTCGGCATTCTGAAAGATACCAAGATGCTAATGAAAGAAACTTTTTCATTAGCCATTTGACTTTTTTTTTAATGGGGGAAGGACAGATTTCCTCATGTAGTAATAGAGGAAATACTGTCTGATTTGGAAGAGAGTAATCGTGAATCAAACATATATAATTTCCAAGGAAATAGCACATGTCTATATACAGAAACAGGTTTGGGTAGGTGAGTAACACTAAACTTGACAGAAACCATTTAAAATGATCACATCAATAAACCCAGAGCTGATATGGAAGATAAACTTCAAATGATCAAAGGGCACATCCAGATAACTGGTTTAACATGGCTTTTTTCACACAGTGGTAGAAATTATGCCTACATAATATGTTCTGACCCCATAATTCTGCCTTAGTGATGAGACCAGTGATTGGTCCTAACATAACAGCTGATTAAGTC